AGAAGCTAGCGCCTGTGTAATTTTTAATGGGTTTTTAGAAAGCAGGATTGATGCCGGTGATGGACAGCAGCAAATATTGCCCGGTGAGGAAGCTGCTGCAAGTTTACCTGAGCGATGAATAACGTCGTCCCTCTTTAATGGGGTTGCTTCCTTGCGCCTAGTACTCGTGGATCCTTTGCAATTCAGACAAGGGACGGATCGTGTATTTAAGCTTTGTTTGGCAAGAGACAAACTACGCTATCAACTTTTCATTCGATACGATCCGAGAAGCGATCGTTTGCAAGCTAAGTTTGAAGTTCAGCGATGTAAATAAAGAGAATTAAAATGCAATTAAGTGAGCGTCAGCAACTTTATTGGTATATGCGAAGATAATACGCGACAGACGTGATAAATCTTTCGACATAGTTGAGAAGAAGGGAACGATTAGTTAGATGCAAATAGTGTAAGAGTACACCGATTAAATGTTAATCTACACCGAGGACGCACATCTTTCGTTTTATATTATTTCATCGAATTTTCTATGATCTATTTTGTTCTATTTCTATTCCTATGGTCATACATAATTCAATAAATTAATATGAAAGAAAAGACGTTATGCGTTTATTATTTCCTTGTAAAACAAAAGAAACCTCTGGGACAACCTAAAATTTGGACACTCACCGTGGAAAATTTTCATGTTCGTATTATACAAAACGTTTTGATAATCCAAGGAGCGAAACAAGTCTCCGTAATTCAGAAATAATTACCTCGATTTTCAAAGAGATAAACTTATACAAATTTTTATCGACGGAATTTCGCTCCTCTCGGAGGATAAACCGAGTTTAAATGACCTGAACAATGTTCCACGGATTCGATCAATACCGGAGGATGAAACGACGAAATTCTGACGTGAAGAGGTAACAGGCGTTCCGGCATGCATACTAACAAACCCAGAAATCCAGTGGTAAGAAAAACTGTAACAAAACCAAATAACAGAGCCGGGAAGGAGGAAAAGCAACTACGCAAGTAAAACGGGGAAAAAGCTCTTGACGGGGGAAAAAATGGGGACGGCGAGGATTCCCGGTGGTCGTTCGACCAACATCTTCGGTGCGTTCTCTTTTTTTCCAAGTACGTGTCCGCGAAAACTCATTTTCCGCCGGACAAAGTGGCCTACTTTGATACTCGTCACGAATCTCAAGTCCGTGGGAGCAAAGAGTCCATTTAAAGATTACAAAGATTGCACAATGAAGAGAAGATTGAGAAGAAGAAAGAAAGCAAACGGATAAAGAATAGTTAAAGGACCAATCTGACGGACAAGGAGAGAAAGCAGAAGAGAGGATTCGAGGCCTCGATACCGGAGAAGATTTAAATTTCCATTTCCTAGACCGATACACCTTCCTCGAGGCGACGTCTCTTACCGCGCCGGCACGCTTTCTTCGTGTTCTGAAATGATTTTTTCTCCGGCGATTCACTCGTCCGTGGCTTCGTCGATTTTAACCAGACGGAAGAACGCTCGATTTCGCGAAACGAGACGCGTTTCGTTCCTGCCTGCCAGCTGCATTTTTCTTTGTTTCGATGAATGTTGCAACAAGGACGCTTTATTCTCGAGTATCATGGAAAGGCTAGTACCTTGTTTGCTCGTGAGTATTCTTGCCTTCGAGCCTTCTACAAAAGCGAAATGAAAGCGGTTGGAATGTTAAGACGCGGTAAAGTAAATATCAAATTGTAGTTCCACGTTTATTCGAAGCGTTGCCACGTGCATGGGAAATAAAATTTATGAAATTTCGCTTCGTTTCTTTTTTAAATACGCCGTATGTTCTCTCCACTTTTTTCCGTGGAACGGCGGTAGTGTAGGTTCCGTGAAAATAGGGGAAAATATGTTGTATAAATAGAGAGGCGTAAATGTTTTAGTGAAAGTTGTAACAGAAATTGTAAGAAAAATATGGAATGATAATAGTGGACTAGGTTTTTGTTTAAGCAAGTTGGTATCTATAAATTATATCGACAATGAAAGTAAAAAATAATGGGATGGTTTTTTGTTTGATTAAGGTACAGATAAATCGATATTTGCGCCAGCTTTATTTGTGAATACGCTGTTGCAAGTTGATTTATATGAAATGTATGGAATTTATTATATTACGAATTCGTTTGCCGATTTTCTTTAATCCGATTTTAGCAAAAGTGTTGATCCTGATGCTAAAAGTCGTTCTTCGGTGTCAATCAAAACTTATCCTGCCTGATAAATTCAATATGAAAAAGTGGAGTATCGAACAATAGATTATATCGATGAATTTTAGAATGCGAGAATGCGGCATAATAATCGCTGGAAACGTCAGTAATTTCACAGTTCTACACGGCTATATATTTCGAACAATGCTCACCGATTTCCCCATAATAAATTTCAGGCGCATTGACTCGTTTCCTACCCAATTGCCCCTCTGATTTTTTGCTTTCAGCCACCCCTTTTTTCTACGTTCCATCTACCTTTTTCGTTCCTCGTTCTCAAACGCCGCCCAATCTAAAGTATCCTCTCCTTTCTGTTTTTTCCGCTCGGGAGTCTCGAACATATTTCTTCCCTCTTTTATTTCAGCCGTCGTTCCCTATGCATTTTTCAACCCTTCGGTGCCATAGTCTTGTTGATTTGCGGTAAACCACGGTATGGCCCGTTTTCTAGAAAAATATCGTTCACCTGGCCATTTATAAACCAAATTCTTTGCTTTTCTCTTCCCCTTTCACCTTCTATTTATTTTTCTTTTTTCTTCTTGGTCATTCGTTCCCTATTCGTTCTCATCGCGCAATGGGAAAATGGGACGTTCATATTGTTAGTTTACTCGTTAAATGAAGTGAGTTATTGTTTTATTAAGCTACAAAAATGCGTTAGAATAAATAAGCACGTGACAGAAAAGCGTGACTTGTCAGCGAATCTTATGCAAACTCATTTTTAGCTTTTTTTTTTATTTAATCAAGAAAATCTGATCAAAGATGGAATTCAAGTAAAAATTTGCCTCGTCAAGTATTATACTTTGAATAAATTCAACCTTTGTTCTCTTTGTTGGACGATTATTCTCTTGGTTGTTTTCCACCATCCGAATTGGTGGAAAATTGTTACTTCGATGTTATCGTCGATTTTTTATCGCGTTTTACAAAGTCACTCGCAGAATATGAAACACGATTTCATTTCAATCGGTCGTGCATAAACATGCAGCATTTTGGAAATTTTATGCCCGGGTGCGCAGCGAAATTTTAATAAATGCGTTATTTAATTTCGTTGTTTGCCATCGTTTCGAAACCATTTGAAAATATTTCGTGAATTTTTAATTGCATCCTGAACAGAACGACCTCGCAAGACTCTCACACGTCACAACATTGTCCGAAAAAATTTTATGAAATCACAGATCGAACAATGAACGCTCTTCATTGAAATATTTTCGTTGAAATATTTCCCTTTCAGAGATATTTCTAACAAGCATATCTGTTCGTCTACTGAGGTCTTAATTAATCGTAGTTTTAATTTAGTTTCGTATAGATTCATTTCTACGTCGAATTTTATTAACTCTGAAATCTTAAATCTACTAGAGCATAATTTAAGTGACAAAAAAATTCGCTGGAACGATAAAAATAATTTGCCAGTGGCTCGTAAACAATTTGTTGATTAAATTCAGATTTTAACAGCTTAAATATCACCATAGGAGCCAACTGTAGAAGCTCCACTATTAAGAGATCACGGACAGCGCATAAAAGTTTTATTTCACTTGTGCTCAAAAGTTTAGAGCACGTTAGTATTTCGAAAGAAATAATGACTTGCATATATAAATAAATATTTTACTAATGATATTGCTATTTTATAACGTTGGCACTGTAATTAATTATACTTATAAACGACACTCGTATCGATAATATTCTTATTTCTCCTAAAGATACGCGAAATATTCGTATCATCTAAAATTCAAAAGCTGCTCCAAACATTTCACCGGAAGCGTATGTCGTCTCCTACTAAAAAATAATTGTCTTTTTTTTATTTCTCGGCCACTTGTGTACATACATCATTTGCCACGGCGACTGCTCGATTACCCAAGGAAAAAGTGGCGGCAATCGATCAAACGCTTCTCCAGGCTATAACTACCCCTCGAATTTTAATCCCGCTTGAATTTTCACGGAAGCTAATTACAGACGGAATAATTCAATTTTGATATGACATTCTGATTAAATTCTCGTTTTCGTGCGTCGAATAGGAAAACGCCCGGATTTATGTCATTCGTTCTTTAATATCCGCGCAGCAAAATGTACACTCTTTTCTGTTTCATCCTACGTTCGTTTTCTAACAGCAATAAAATCGTATTGCACGGAAGCCTCGCGACATTTCCGAGCGAAGAGAACGATAGAAGCGTTTAGAAATTCGCTGGTACATGTTCGTTGAATAAGATTGTAGGCGACGACGTTGCTTAATATATAATCTACGATTTTTACGCGAGGCTTCAATATTCGGATGGCTGGCATAGTTGTCGCGTTTTAATCGCGATGGAAGTTTTATCAGTTCGATGGCGAATGCGTCTTTTACGTTCGACGCGACGGAATTCCAATAATCCGGACGATAAGCGCACGGCGACGCAATGGACGCGTCTTAATTTTATTAAAATCATACACATGCTTTCACGGAAGTTGAAGAGAATCGAGCTGCCAAGTTTACCGAAATTCTTCTCCAATGAAAATACCAAAAAAACGCAACGTCCATTCGCGTTTCAGCGACGATTCCGCTAATCGACTTAAAAGTTCGAAAGTAAAGGACAATTGTCGCGTTCCTCGGAATTTCTATAATTTGAAAGGAATGGTTTGTCTGTAACTTATCTTCAAAATTTACTTCCGACTTTTACTGTTTATTGTTTGTAAAATACTAGATTTTATAAAATTGTATAATTTCTATAGAAAGATAAGAACGAGCAACTTACTATTGTCGAACGTTGTTATTTGATAGAAGAAAATGAGGATTGACTGCAGGTTGACCAGTAATTTTATTGTTTCAGAGTGGCACGACCAATCCCACGGTGAAGCTGTTTTACGTCGACTTAGAAAAGGTGGTCCAAGGTAACGTGAGCTTAACTGAAATCGAACATCCAGACGAGTTAGCCTCCGAGGAACGGATTCTATCTGCCGTTGCTTTTCCTACGGACAATCTCGTGTACGCGACCTGGATGAACAGGGTGCAGAACGAGGCGTACTTCCGTTTCTGTTCCGTACACGATTCACTGCCAAATTGCACCACCGTACGTATACAATATTATACAGATATTTCATAATAATTGAGATTATTTATCATATATAAAAATTATTTTTATTGCTTTTATTTCCCAATTATTTTATTATGAATCTACTACTTTATTCGCATTGGATATATTGGAGTTCTAACTTGACTTCTACGAAGGGATAGTTGACACTCAAATTTCAACGAGTTTTTCTTCAGTGGTGTGCAAAATCGTTCGACCAAATAAATGTTTATATTCGAAAAACGGTATCTGAAAGAATTTTAAATAATAACGGGTAAAAGTAGTATGATAAGTAAAAGGAAATATAATGCACAAGCGCTATTACATAGTTATATAATATGGTTTAAAATTCTTTTAAATACCACTTTTGCAATATTTGAAAACTTTCGCACGCCACTGTAATTCAATTAATTTCTTTTTTTCGCAAGAAGACACAATTCCGATAAGACTGTCAGGTTTGCCGATTTTTTGCTAGTCCAAGCTGACGACGCCAACAAGATGAATAAGAATTGGCGATCCGTCGCGTGGTTTTCCTTTTAAAATTTCACGACGGTTTTATCGTCCGTAAAAGACCAACTTTCTCGGTTTAATTAGATTGGCGCTGCTGTTGGAAGTATCGCGATTCGTTTAATTCACGAAGCTTCGGGGGTGAGGAAGCTCAACTTGGTCAAGAGGGTGTTATTTCGTTTATTGTTTCACGAGCAAGTTTAGCGACGATGAGTTCGACTGAAGGTTACCTATAACGTTTTTATCCTCCTGGTAATTTCTATTATTGGTAATCTTTATTAGCAATCTCAATTACAAGCAATTATTATTTTTCGTTGTTTTCTTAGTTTTATCGCCAGGTAATCATTACTTTCGATCGGTTCAGACGAATTTCATGCCAATAATTTCTCACTCGGATTTAAAATAAAAGAAATTTCGTTTTCTTAGAAAATCCTCTTCGTACAAATTTTCCAATCCATTTCCTGTAACTCGTTTGCTACCAACGACGCACCGTATGCGTCGCCAGACTATATTTTGCAGCCGAGAAAAGAAGATGGCATAGAATAAATATCGTAGAAAATATCGTGCAAATATTGCGCGAAATGAAATAGAAAAGTTTCGGGACGAAGCAAAAGATTTGGCCTACAGTCGTCATCGTGAGAATTTCGAAATCCTTCCGATACCTAAAGAATATCTTCCACGATTCGTAGAAATCGTGTCGTGGGATGGATTAAACCGCTTTCGCCTTTCGATTTCTCTCCCACAAGTCACCGTGAATGTCTAAAATCGCAAAATAATCCTCTGGATTCGCTCATCAATGGTAGAGTACCTCGACGATGCATGGAAAGAGGATACTGTGGAATTGAACGATGCGCAATTTTTCGCGACCGTTTTCACGGGAAGAGGAGGAATGGATGGGAAACGGGATGAAATATTCATCTTTCAGGCGCTGAAGCACTCGGAGAGGCATGGATGGGTCGAGCAGTTCGAACCACCGATGTTCACCGATGATGGCGATTCGTTCCTTACGATTCTGCCACAGAAGCAACACGATGCAAGTTACTGGAGGCATGCAGTCGCAATTACCAACGTTTCCTCTGGCAAGACGAGGAGCTTCGCTCTAACTTCCGGCCGGTTCGTCGTCACGGAGATAGTTTCCTGGGACCAGAAGAACTCTTACCTGTAAGTACAGGACTCCTTAGAACAGTTTGATCATTAACTTATTTGAAACTGGACTCTTGTGGTCAGACTTAACCGTGGAATATCACAGTGACTTTTAGTATCTTGTACCTTATTTATTTTTATTTCAACCATTTCTGATTGCAACGAACGATGACCTTCTCTTACCTGTATTTTACAGTATTGAATATCCAGTAATATCGTAGAAATGTTGAAAATTTGCTAAATTGGGTCATACTGGAGGTTCGTAGCTCTAGGCTGTTAATTTTCAAAGTGCACACAGTAAGCGCAAATAGTGGCGTGGTTCGTATTCCAAAAGCGATATTTTTGAAATTTTTTTCATGTCGCCTTTCAAATACAAAGCGAAAAAGTTTGGTTGAAAATTGCACGCGTCCCTTAACTTGAAGGATATTGGATTTATTTGAACAATTTCTGAAACGTTCGATAATTAATAGATTTCTCAACGCATCACGAGAGCGTAAATTTGTATAGAGAATACTGGAATCTGTGAGAGAATCTGCAGAAAGAAGTTTTCCATATTTCATCTGGGAAAAAGTAAAAATCGGAAATAGGAAATCTAAGGAACACTGGGAACGAGGAATGGAAAAACGTGTACCTGGTTGATGTAATTTTTGCGCAATTGTGTTTGCCGTGCTTTACCTGTTTCACGTTTCGCCTTTCAACGTGCCAAATAAAATGAAACGACCCGTTTGGTGTTCCAAACGAAAGTTATATGAGTTACCGCGAGTATAATTATATGCACAATACGTTGCGTTCGTATTTGTATGCGCGTAAATTCAGATGCACCAAGAGTCGTAGAAACTTTTAGGACGTTGCAAAATGCAACACGAAGAGATGAAGATTATTTAATCGCAGTTTGACGAACTTGTTTCGAGTGGTTGTTACGTACTACGATTATTAGCATATTTGGAATTGAACTCTTGTGGTTAGATTTAACATTTTGAGCAGGAGAGATAGTTTAGTTTGTACATGCTGCGTGGGCAACCTGAAATCCTCGAAATAAACAGTTCGCTTTGCAAGGAATTCTGATAAAACTGTACATCGTAATATAACACAGAAATACGTAAAAAAGTACAAAAATAAATAGAAAATACACTACGAAAATTCAACGAGGAATTCATTTGAACTTTCACATATATTTTGCCTATCGGTTTATCTTCGTATGATCTAACCTGGCCAGTTTCGAATAAGATAGTATTACCCATGGTCCATAAAATTTGCATTTTCGAGAGATTTCCGAACGCTCGAACCAAGCATAGATTCTGCCCCCTCGAAATATCCTGAATTGTGTGACAATCGTTCACAATGGGCTGGAGATTCAGATAAAGACCAGTCGAGACCCTTGCACTTATCGAAACGGTTCCTCAACATTCCCCAAACCTATGAAGATTCTCTAAATGTATATCGACGAAACAAACCCTTGAAACTGGTACTTGACGATTTCCTGTAAACCTGGAAAATCTTTCCCATCCACTTACGCTGACGATTCTTACGGCAGAACGTTCGAAATACCACTCAATGGAACGTTCCAGTTCCACTTTAGTTGCAACCAAATTTGACCAGTCACCTTCCCGATCCAATTACTTTGCCGACGTTCTGATTTCGTCACGCCCTTTCCAATTCCTCGATCCTTCCAAGCTACCCTTCGGTTTTCTTCGAAACTTCGTTTCCATCAGAGACTTGGCTGTTCGATAATTACACTGGCTGCTCAGTAATCGTGGCGTAATCGGCAAATGGAGTGATTCTACGTGAAAAAGTTAATCGCAGACGTAGAATACCATTCTTTTATACGATCTTTCGTTTTTCGATAAAATTCGGACATTTCTTTTAGTATACAGCGAGTATATTGTTGAGAATTGTGGATCTTAATCGCCGAAATAAAAGTAAAGGAACGCTAAGGTTACACTTAGAATTCATATTAAAATAATTTTAGATTTATTTAATAAACGATTTCCAGGATCTTCGTCGATATACATTTGCACGCGTCTCAGCACTCTCTTTGTCTCACCATCTTCCATATCACATTGCCAATAGAACAGTTACATTCATCAGATTTTCGAGATGCCGCGCACACACATATTTCCACACACTTAGATATATTCACATGCGTGCGTCACTACTACGCGGCCAATCTGGTTTAGCACACAAAATTGTACATATCTAAATATATATAAATTGTGGATTTTGGTTATTTTTCTACTCAGGATGTTTACCATACTGACCCATTCTTTGAAATTATCGCATTGTTCTATATTTCTTCTTTCATATACTTACTCTTATTCGCCAATGTACATTCTTAGAATGTTTTTACGTTCGATAGGAAAATATTTCAGAATCTTTGTTAAACTCGTCGGAGGTTGCGAAAAGAAATTTATGGAAATATCGGATTTCTGTTAAATAAACAGCTAGGGTGTAGTTGGCTAAAAAAGAAGTAACTTTTGATTAAATTCATTGATGAAAACGACATGATATTGAGTACAAAAATGGATACGTCGTTATTTCAGGCATGAATTGAATTTCATGGGTAAACTCGATATGCGGAAAATTCGATTTTTCATCTTCGTTATTAAAAATCCTCTGAAAACAATGGAGCGTCCGATAGAGAAATAAATTGGGCATCGTTTTGGACATGAATTACACAGAAACTTTGAATACAGAAATAATCTTCCCAAAGCAAATTAATTTCCTGGAACACCATGAATATCAAACATATAGCGTTTAAACAGATGATGAATACCATTCAAGGTTGTTCTGTAGGGAAATGAGATTGAATTGGGCGGCCGGTGCACACAGTATCAATGGCTAACGGTGCGTTTACGTGATAAATGATAACGCTCTTTGGATGGCCGCTGCCTGTGGCAGACGTTTGCCCCGTGATTCCATGGGAATCCCCAATAACGCGTCCCCCTGGCGTAATATCCTTTCTTAGTCGTATTTTATCGAGAAATAATGGAAGCACGTAGCTAAGTCGGCGTACTTAACGTCCACGTTCGAACGTCTTTTCCCGATCGTTGCAAAGATTTAACGTCCGAGAAACTGGCATCCACTGGGAACTGTCTGTGATAAGAACCAAGTAATTTTCGTTTCAGTAGAGCAATCGATAATTACACAGGGTATCTCAGTAATCGCGATTCAATTGGTAAACAGTAAATGGTATTGGAAAATACACGTCGAAGGTATGAAACAACATTTTTTTCACACGACGTTTCATTTTCGAGGAAAATGGAGTTTGAAAATCTGTCGAATATATTAGTCGAATCTGTTGTCGATCGTAAGCGAAGCGATCGGTATTGAATAATCGAAAAAAACGTTATTTTATATGAATTAACAGAAGAAGAGTTTGTTCATAAGATATTTCTTTGCTGGGAAAAACAAGCTTGGAAATCTATTAAATACGTGCACCGGCCGATATACTTCACGTACAACGAAACTTCAAACGAACAAATTTTATTCTACACGTTCGACTTACTTTCGCACATAGAACAACCTCCTACCTTATTTAGTCGTAGCCAGTTGGTAATTAGCCAAGTTCATTTGCTATGTAAATGGAATTCTACTGCACACCTAGAAAATTATCCAGATGGAAACACTATCGAGAAAAGCATCGTGCTACAAGCGGTATAGATACGCGATGAAGGATTGATGGTTATTCAAGACCCTGGCTCACCTTGAGCCAATATCGCGTAATACCTTGAAAATTGTGCTTAAACGAGCCAATATTTTTATTCGACGCTCGGCACACAGGGGAGAAAGAAGTTGATTTTCCTCTTAGCGTCTTAACGTGTTCAATATCGGCGACGTCGGGGAATCGCCTTTGGGAGATCCGAAGGGAAGAAAAATAGGCAAACGAAAAAATCGCGTTTAATTCTGCTACGTTTCAAAGAGAAAGGTTAATAAGCGGCGATGCAAATAACGGCCGGTCGAAGTTTCGTACAAAAGCTTCTCTACCCTCCCCTCTTTTTCAACTCCCACTTTCCACCGGATACGCTGCTATCCAATGCTCGCGTTAGTTTCACTCGTGTAATTATGCAACCTCGATTATTACACTAATTGGCACGCTACGCGAAAACGTACGCGTTTGTTTGCTCGTGCATGCTCCTGCAAATGTGTCGCGTCGAAATTGCGAGCGAATGTCGTTGCTGGCGAAAGGCTGCCTTTTAAGAGAATTCCAAACGCAGTTTCACTGAAATTAAACCTTTTTCTTTTTTACCATGATCAGGTTGCTACATAACGTGGACGGTTTTTTTGAAATTTAAGGAACTATATTTCATAGAATATTTAATAATGGAATGTTTCAGGTAGAAATTATTAACTCGTCTCTGAAAGTAGACATTTATAATTGTTAATTTATATAGAGAATTTGTAACATAGATCGCGAGCCCGAAGATTCCATCTGCATTCCAATGACGTTAATTGGAATCGTTTAAAATTTCCGATATAATTTTCACATATCTTTTTTTTACAACAATTTCCAAATTTCCCTTTGTTTTCCGTTCTTTCGTCTTGTTTCCACTTATTTACAGTTTCTGACTCGTATCGCGCGCTTCAAGATTTTTTACAGATCCCGGTAACATCAATTATATTCGAAAATTATTAAATCCTTTCGTCTCTCTTTCCAATCATCGTCATCTTGCCAATTGAATTCTGAAATCAACGAATAATCGACTAATAATAATAATCAATCAAAGTACCGGGAACCTTCTTTTATTTCTATCTAATTTAATCTAATTTGATCGATGCCTGCAGCGAATCTGTTCATGGATAAAAGCTAACGTGGCAAGTTCACTTAGGTTAATTATTATCGAGCTGGTATTCATGGACTGAGGCAGAGTCGAGCACGATGCGACTGGCCTAAATAACGATCGACATTTTTCTCCTCTTCTTCTCTTTTTTTTTTTTTTTTTTTTTTT